GCCCGTGTCGCCCGTATCTAAAACCGCTACTGGGCGCAGAGCACACGCCTGCTCGACCAATCACGTCCATCCACTCTGCTCTGATTCCCACGTCTCCTTCATCAGGCTGTGGGACAGGAAGTTTCACGTTTCCATGGATACAGCCTTACTGTGCAGCTGTGAAGCCAGAAACCAGTTTCTGCTGCTTCAGACATTTTCTGTCAGATTTCTAGTCACCGTCTGATAACACCTCTGAGGTTTGTGGCACTCTCAGAATCAAGTTCTGTGGAAGAAGAGTCCCATGACCCACCAAAGGCCCCTTTATAGACAGCCCCGCCCCTTTGACGTGATCGTGCTGGTTAAACTGTGAGCTAACAGCGATACCCTGGCTACTCGCTGAATACTTCTGATACTAAATCAGAAGGAATGATGATGAAGGCCGATGAAGACTGTCCACCTAAACACAGATGCAGGACAGGGGCGCTGCCAGGACCCTGAAACCCTGGGGGCTTAGCCCAGCCCTGAAATATTTTGGGGTTTTAATTGATAACAGCACCTTTTTAACAGTCATTGACTACAGTAACAGATGAGTGTGATGAAGCGTTCGTCTGTGAGACGGTACGCTGACGGTATGCTGGCGAGTTTAACAGCGCTCGCTGCTCCGGCCTCAGAGCCTCTGCTTTTCACTGCTGCTGATCTTCTTCACGCTCGGGTCTTCTTCACCAGCCTGCTGCACTCTTCACCTCCTCGCTCTCTCCTTTTATGAGAACAATGTAAACAGTCTTCAGAGTCAGCACTGAACACCAGCTGAGGACCCGCCCTCTGCTGCTCTCCAACCAATCACATCTGTCTACACAGTCACATGTCTTCCTCCTTACTCGATCGCTGTTTTCTATTGCACTATTTTATTTTTAGGGCACTTTAATAATCACTCTGTTGATGTCACTGCACAAACTGTCCCATGCAGTGTCCTGAGATGTCCACTAGATGGCAACAGTCCTCTGTGAACATGGAGCGTCAGCACCATCAGCACCAGCGCTGACATCACCGTATTATCAAGGTTACTGCAGTAATACTGTGTACACATGCAGTATGCTTCAGTGTTGCAGTAGCTGATGCTGCAGGGATATAAAACCTGAGAACTTTCACGGTGTCATCACAGCATCCCCCGTAACCACGGTTACACACCATCCTGCAGCCTGTGCTGCTGAGCAGCTGCCTGATATTGTGTGTGTGTGTGTGTCAGGCCCAGCTGCATGCTGTCTTCTCGTCCTTCGGTCCTGTGTACCTGTTGAAGGTGAGCCCTAACGCTCCGCTCCACCCTCCTGGTTTTTACGCCCTCATCAAGTTCTTCTCTGCGGCTCACGCCGCTGCAGCTCAGCGCATCACAGACGGACGCCCGCTGCTTGACGACTCGCCGCTGAAGGTGAC